AAATTAGACATTAAAAAGATGCAGTATTTTATTACAATGAGATTTGCTTCAGCAATATAAAATTATCCTTGAAATTTGCTTGTGGGCTACTTGTGTTGGAAACTTTGTGTGGAATCTGGACATGCCCGAGCTGCTTGCTTGATTCCTGCCGTGCAGTTACTCTTAGACTTGGCACACTGCGTGTGCTTTGCATTGCTCTTTTTCCAGCTGCCTCAGGAAGAAGGAAGGTTTGACTGTATCTCCCTGGCCCTGTTTGCTGGAGTATCAGTGAACATGAGTTTTCCTAGACTGTAATCATGATACCAACACTGAGTTTTTAGGATGTCCTGCTATAGGATCTCTGTGAAGTGAAGGAGAGAAGTCAGGAAACATCACTGGTCTGCGATGAGTTTCTAATTACACTATTGCACTTTTCTTGTGCAGGATGGAAGGACTTTAATTCTCGTTTCTCCCTTGCATAGAATCAGCAGATAGCTGTCCTAGTCGTCGCTGCAGCCTCTCAGCAGGGTTATGGTGTAGTAGGTTGTTTAGAATGGGTTGCATGTATTCCATTTCTTTCATTGTGCCAAAGGGCCCTCAGTTTTCAATACGAAACTTAATGGATTATGCACAGGGCTGGTCCGTGATCCATGTATCATCCTTATTTATTATCTGTTATATAAAAGTCTTTCTAACATTTACAGCCTTGTTTCGACTGACGTTTAGTAATTATGATGAAATGGCATTTTAATTATCATAGCTGCCAAAGTTGCCACTGAATGATGAATTATATAGAAAACATTGTTCATCTCAAAAGTATTTGCCAATTTATGAAGATAAAATTTTATGAACATAAAACTACGAACATCAGTTAGTAAAGTTTAGTGCATAACCCTGGACGTGTTTAATCCCAGTTGAAATTCCATTCAATCATTTTGCTATTCTTATAGATTCGGAGTTCCTGAATATTCTTTTAATAGGTTAATTCCATTATTGATTCTCAAATCCAACCAGGATACTAAGTTTCCCTTTCCCTTTGCTCAGGGTTGAGTGAGGGAATGCTTCTCTCTGAAACTGAAGTTAGTAACAGAACATAAATCTAGTATTCTCATTCTTAGGCCATTTCTTCTTGGTCTGTGCTTAGCTGTAATCATTGGCTAAAAATAATATGCTATGGACTATATTGTGTATAACTATATTGTATATAACCTGAACAGTGTGTATATATATACACTAATTGTAAGTGCTTAGTTACACATGGCATGTATTTGCAATTCAGTATATTGATCTTCATGGATGCTTTTGAGACCTCTGTTCCACAGCCTGGAAATATGACCAAATATGACCAAAATAAAACAAATATATGAAGCTTAAGATTGTCTTTATGTCTTGGCCAACTTTATGAGCAAATAAGACATATGATTTCAGTTTTAGTGTGGGGTAATGTTGAAGTTATTTATGATAATTAACAAAAGTAGTTTCTCGTTTCTTAAAAGCTTACTGCACAAGTATATAATTTAATCTGAAAGAGGCAGTCTGTTTTTCAGTGATGTTTAATATTAAATTTCTACAGTAGAAGGTTTGCATTTGTGTTTATATGTTAAAAAAAGTATTTTAAAGTGTGTGTCTAGTGGTTTGGTATTTTTTTCTAAATTACTTTTAAATTGGGAATTGGATGAGTGATTCTTTAGCTTTCTTGTAGCTTTAGTTTTTATTAGCTTAGTGATATTTAATTTGGAACTATCATATAATTCAGTTATCTCTGTTCCATATCCATAGTCTTGCTGAAATTAGGCTTTTCAATTATTTTTCAGAACTGTTTATTTATCTTTTTTTTGTAGGGTAAGACTAATGCAATTAACATTGGGCTTTATTCTTCTCCTTTTCCATTACTTTAGCACAAGTTGTGGAAAAACTGCTGGGAGTTGTTGTCTGACTCCCAGAGCCACTCCTTGTCCATTGTACCCTAGCCAGCGTGGCGGCTCTCTGCTGGGCTTGCTTCAGTGTGCCCCTGTTCTTCTCTTTTGGGCCCCCAAACTGTAGGCAGCCCTTGAAACAGGGCTTCACAAGTGCTAAGCAGAGGGAGTGATCATTTCTTTTGTCTTGCGATCTGTCATCTTCTTGTTGGTCCATTCCTCAAGGTCTCCCTTAAAGAATTTTCTGTCCCCTAGTATATCAACCCCACTCTCCCCAGCTGGCTGCCAGCTGGGAGCTTGCTGAGGCTGCCTTCGGTCCCCATGTCCGGGACAAAAGAAGTTTCAGTGTAAGCTACAGAGTAGGGTTTGGTCTGTCAAGGATAGGAAGAAAAATCGGCAATATTAATATTTGTATTTCTGTGCTTTGAACACAAAGGTATGTTGTATCAGGAAATTGATCTAAATCGAGCTGGTCTTTCAGCCTCCTGCCGAAATTTCTATCGGGAACCCTGAATCAAGTGGTGTGCAAGACGTAATAGGGAAGTTTGTGTGTGGTTTAATAAATGCATATTACAGCTTGTTGTGAGGTTTGGGGTTTTTTGGTTTGTTACTGGGTTTTGTTTTTTTTTCTGGACAGAATGAATCTTCACTATCACATTGCAACAACTATTATCAGTTAAGACATAGAAGTCTTACAGAAAACAGGATAGTGTTATTTATGTGCAAAGTTGCATTAGTTGCAATTGAAGCAATTTTAATGTGCCTGAGGGAAAAAAAATCTGAACGAAGTGAGTTCAGAACAAATTACTGCAGGGCTTTTGAATTGTCCTTTGGTCGTACAGATTTTGTGTGCTGCAGTCTTGAATATAAAAAGTTAATTTACAAGCTACAGGTTTTATATTCCTAGATGGTACAAGAACTTCAGAGAGAGCTGCCATAAAGATTTGTCATCCGATTCTCTATTTGTATTAGAATAAGAAAAAGAATTAGCAAATGGCACTGGAGAAATGGACACTCGTGATGACATACCTGCCTTCTTTTCCTAATTTCAGGGCATATTCCCTTGTGGATTCCAGTCAAGTGTCTACCTTCCTGATTTCTATTCTTCTCATAGTCTACGGCAGTTTCAGGTAAGATTTTTCTTTAAGGTTCTGCAGAATTTTTCTTTTTTGAATAAAAATATAAACTGAATGCATTTTATGCCTTTTGGTTCATTGTATCTTGCTCAGACTGATGGCTAATGTAAATTAAATCTTTCTTGCTTCTGAAAAGGAAATGGTAAAGGAAGAAAAAATAGCTAGTTGGGGTTTCTAAAAGATGTAATTGTATGTCAAGTTACAGGCAGATAGAAGATAACTTAGAAGTTAGTCCTCGAAGACAGCTTTGTAAAATTGTAGTTTGGAGGGTATAAAAGGATTCTGGAGAGAGATCGGAATGTAATGTTATCGATAGTAGAATTTTATATATAATGTTTCAGTGTTGGTCGATTCGGCATGTCCTTGGTGTGATTGCAAACAAGTCCTATAAAACAGAGATTCCAGAGTCCCAGTGCTATCTACTTGAGTGTGAGTAACAGCTTAATAGAGAAGTGGGAAACACTGTCAGTGTTGAATTCTAGCAAAGTGTCTGAGAAGTGCTGCAGGATAAGTTTGAATCTTCAAAAATCAAATTTGCCCCATTTTAGGAGACTTGAGTATAGTTTAGAGAAAACATAGTTGTCCCTTTAGACTTGCATCTTGTATTATACAGTGTTTTAATGTAGTGGCACCTAAGGAATGAGGTTCATACTGACATATTAAAAAAATAATTAGTCACAGCATGAAAGTATTATTTTTTTCAAACTTAAGTACAGCATGTTTTTCTTTCCGATTCTTCAAGAACATTGCTTCATTTAACAAGCCTATGATAAAAGGCCATACATTCACTCTGAAGTCTCTAAACTGCTGTGAGTGTTCCTGAAATAGGTGATAGCCATGGTCATACATATGATGTAAGCTGCAGCTGTTAGGAGAAGAGGTTTTAAATCACTATCATAAGTTAATAAAATCATATAATCAAAGAGACAATTTTTGGTAAGAGCTGTCTGTTGTTGCTAGCAAGTATTAGGTAACAGTGCTGCTGAGGGAATTAAACCAGCAGGCTTTATGAAAACAAAATCTAGAGATGATCAAAATGAAAAAGAATAAAAGGTTCTATTTGTTTCATTTTTTTCTTCAGGTTTTGAGTCAATCTAGTGTATAGTTGGGGGACTAACTCCATTTTTAACTATTTGAATTTATCTAGTTGTGTAAACAGGAACTATGCATCTGGCTGCAAGAAGCCATATCATTTATTACAATTCAATTGTGAAAACATAATGCAATATAAAACAGCAGGAGTGCTTGAACTTAAATTGCCTGCCCTTCTCAGAGCTCCTTGCTCTTAAAAAATTCTCCCCTGCTGTTTGCCATCCTATTCCTATATACATATGCTCTTTTACCATCTTGTCCTATGTTTTACATTTAAAACTGCTCACGTTACAAGGACTGCGAACTTCAGAACAATCTAATTTATTTGATGAAGTAGTGGAATGGTGATGGGTACACATTGGTTGAGGAAATGCCCTGTTCTCGTCCACTTCCTTTGTGTGTATCCTGAAGACCCCAAGATGCAAGCTATTGCAGACCAAGATAGGGTCCCATAGTTTTAAAATTAATTTCCTAATTGATTTCCTATATGTAGTTTCTTTAGCAGATGTCTTGAGATGAAACCCACAGCTACGATGGTGACTTGGACAAATTCCCATTCTGTTTGGTCAGCAAGAGAAGTCAAAAGCAGTTTTTTACAGAAAATTGTACGGTGGTGTTAACAAAGCGGTCTAAGATGCAATTAAGTTATTTAAGAAATTCAAGTGTGGTAGTAAGTTGCCAAATTACACTCATCTGTAAAGTAGTAAAATGAAAACTTCTGGCAAAGTGGGTGGCTTTTCTTAGAAAAGTGACTTGCCGGAAGGACGAACGTTACAGCTTAGGGTGCTCATTCTCAAATGACAGCAGTGATGTCTTCATCTAGGTTTGAGTGCTTCGTCTCAAATGGAGCTGTCATAAGATGAAAAGAAAACAGCACTCCTTAGTTAACCTTCGTGTTGCAGAAAGTGGGTTTGGTTTCTCATTTTCAATCTGAAAAGAAGCAAATAGTTACTGTGGTATTGCTGGCAAGTGACTTAAACAGAAGTGCAGTAATAGGATCAGAAAGAATTGGGTGGGTGAGTCATTAGGATAAAATCCACGTGCATGGTGGGTGGATCTAATCTAGTGAAAGAGGTTTCAGGGGGACAAAGGAAAGACTTGGTCCACTGTCCTTACTCATACAAGCAGCGTTTGTGCAAAACTAAAACAAACCAAAAAACCCCAAACCCTCAAGATAGTCAGAAGAATGTCTGATAAATCATTGGTGAAGTCCACATCCAGAATGAAGTACAGTTTGTAGAGTTGAGTTCCCGCTTGTCTTACTGTGGATGAGTGAGTGTTTCCTTCCTACATTTGTGTTGGGTCAAGAGTTTCAGCTTCAAGTGCTTCTGAAAGTCTCTCCCATAGACCTTCTGACTCTCTCGGTCCTTGAACTCAATGTACTTTGTTACTGACTGCCAAAGGGGCAAGTATAACTCTTTAAACTGTTACAAGCTGTAAACTGGAGCGTGCAGGTATATGTGTTAGTTACGGGTTTTTAAAGATGTGAGCTTAGCTTGAAACAGGTTGTCTCCTATGGGTTCTTGCAAGCCAGCCACCTGTCCAGTGCTTCTCTGTGATTTAAATGTTGGGGTTACTCTGCAGGCAGGTAACAGCTAAATCTTCTTCTATCCTGTCACATACCCAGACATGGTCGCTCAGCTTATGTAAAGCCAGATTTAGCCCAGAATCTGCCTGTTCAAGTGTCTGCTTTTAAACCATACCAAGAAGCGCAGGATGAAACTGCTGTCTTCTGTCTCTGGGCTTTGGGTATCTAAAGTACGTGTGTAAATAGAAAGTAGTTCAAACGGTGTCCTTGTGGTCGGCTTTGTGACCCGGCATTTATGGAAATCAGGATACATATTTCACAATTAAAAAACCAAAAAACAACAACAACAACAAAAGTTTGTGCTTGGAGTTCATCAGCATCTACAGCTGCAGCGCTGGCGGGGTAGAACCAGGGGTTTGGACAGACCGTCTCACCGCATGCTACGAAGGTTATCTGCATGTGCACACACGAGTGAGTGCACGTAAAATACCTGCTGAAGGTGAGATGTTTTTGGCAGAGACGTGGGACTCGGGCACTCTTCTTGCATGTAGGCAATGAAAACATTTTTACGTGCACTTTCTGCTACTGTTTCCCCTGTTCTTATTCCCACTCCAGATCTTGCCTTGGAACTTGTCCTTTAATCTCACAGGAACATTTTCCAGGCAACTGTAGCAGTGTTATAATACGCTTTGGGATTTGATTGAAATAAACTGTCTCGGGTCAATGACTGATTCTGATTGTAATTTTTTATTTAGAGCAATTGAAATGTGGCAATTCTGTGGCAACCCACAATTCTCATAGTCCCAGAGCTGTTATGATGGGTGACTGTCCGCGCTGAGTAGAGCAGGAAGGAACTTCTCAATATATTGCATCTGCAAGCGGCTCTATAGACACTTACTTGCTTTCATATTTCCTCCATTGTTTCATAAGAATATTCTCCTGCAGGGTTTCCCCGAAGCTTTGCTGCAGTGGCAGTGATCCATAGTTGAATCTGAACTTTCATGATAGTAATGTGCCAGCAGCTTACTCATTCCTTTGGCCTTAGTGTAACCCTACTGAGTGGTTCCCTGTGGGAGGCTGAGCTGTGCTTGCTTTGAAACATTGTGCTAGAAATCCTACCAACTTCAACTGTGAGGACCCACAGAAGAAACAACTGTGCAGTTTATTGCCCGATGGGAGGTGCTGGCTGAATGTTGCCTTTGGAAGCCCAGCAGAAACTTGAACAAAAAAGTAAATGTTTCTCAGCTTGCCATTTCTTTACAGTCCAGTAGTTCTGAGTGTGTCTTGTTTTACAGTATAATTTTTAACTGTCTTGGAGGATGTTTTCTTGGAGGATGTTTTAGTGATCACTTCTCAATTTTTTGGATATGTTAGAGATAATTTGTAGCAGAGGGAAGAGCCAAATCATAAAATGGTTGGAGATTGTTCAGAAGTGGTCTTGGATGAGCAGCTGTGTTGCTAAGTGAAAGTAATTTCCTAATTTATGCTTATTTTTGAGGTAAGGATGTTTATAGGTAATAATGTAATAATTGCTGACACTATTGCAACGAAAGGAGAGGGGCTGAAATTCTTTATAAGCAGTAGATCTAATACTTTATTGCCAGTTTTCTTTGCTGATAGCAATCCCTTAAATTATGAGTTGCCTGATGCCACTGGGAGAATGATGGTGTGAAGTTGTTGCTGGACTGCACTAATTCAGAGAGGAATGGAACGCTGCACTGAGAAAAGGATTACCTTGTTTGGCTGAATCTTGGATCAAGTCCTGGGGGGTTGTCAGCCTCCTACCAGATTTTTGTAGCTTGAGAGAAAAATTTAGGTTTTTTAGTTGATGATCCATAGTCTGTGTAGAAGTACTGTGTGTCTGAGGTTGAAGCTTCCTCATATTTTGCCAGAGCCCAAAAGTTGCTTTAATTTCATACCACTGTTTGGGAGCGCTTGCATAATAGAAGTAGAAGAAACAAACCAGTTGTTTCTTTCTTGTTTTTGTTTTATGCAGTGAAACTGCTCAACCCCTCTTTCTTTAGTACACCACACCTGTCTCTGCTGTAGACCTGTATGTGTGTGATTTCAGGTTGTGTGACTGCAGCACAACATTGCTCACCTGTGCACTGCAGTGGGTAACCTACACACACTAAAATGAGAGAACTTTGATACCTATAGAGCTGTATAGAAGATTGTGGTGTGTTTTTTACTTGTCTGATAAATGAATAGAATTTGTTTACTTTGCATAGCGCTGTTACTCACAGCTAAACTTGAAAAGGAGTTGAATGCCTGTTGACCTGGAAGTTTTATTGAAACACTTGGATGCTGCTGCGGACTTGAGACAGGAGCTGCACAGTGGGAGCTGTACAGTGCTTCTGGTGGTTCTCTGTAGCCTGTTTGAATAAATTAAATATGCGGCTAGATCATGGATAACATGCATGTATCAGAATGAGAAACTATGATGGTAAACTTGATTGCTGCTGTTTTTGTTAAAAACAGCGTAGAATTTAACGATAGAAATGCTTGCTGGCCAAAACAGACCTTAAGGGAAATTCCCCTGATTCAGAAAGTTATGCCAAAATTTATTAGAACGTAATTTGGAGGATCCATCGAAGTGAAGGACTGTGGCAAAAGGGGTGGAACACTGTGTTATTTTGGAACTGTTTTGAAGTGCATATATCAAAATGAAAAGATGAATCAAGTATAGCTGAGCTGGGTACATAGGGGAATGTTGTCATCTCCAATGGATTAATTAAATTGTATCAATTTGTACTATTTATTCAGAGCTTCCTCTAGTCATCTGTTCTGCATGTATGTAGAACACAGATCTGGTTACTTTCTAGGCTTTGCTGATACTTTTTCAATGAAATAAGACCTTACGTTCAGCAGACGATTACTTATAAGCCAGTTTTGGTCATCATTCATAACAAGATTTAGAAGAAAGAAATAATACTGTTTTAAAAATGAAACCCGATCATTAAATTTGAATGAAAAGAATCAGAATGAGAACTTAGAAAGAGTTCAAATTCATCAGAGAATTGAAACGTTTATTGCATTTCCATCATGTTCTACACTTCCCAGTAATGCGGATAAATGTCTTTGTTGTGGTTTGTTGCTAACACTCACCAGTTCAGACACTGTGGTGACTAGTCTCACTATTAGAACCTGTGTGATTTGGTGCCTCATCTGTAACTGTAAGGATTTTTTAAAAATTTTTTTTTAAAATAATTCTGTTATGTGTGGCGTTTTTTCTAATAACCAGCATTAAAGGGCTTTTTCAGGCAGAAGGTGCTGTGGCAGGATGGTAATGAGACCGTAGCTGATGAGCCTAAACAAGTTTCCTTTGTTTCCTGCAGGTCTCTTAACATGGACTTTGAGAATCAAGACAAAGAGAAAGACAATAGCAGCACAGCTGGGTCTTTTAATGGCAACAGCACCAATAACAGTAAGGGTTATCTTTACTCCTTCTCTCTTTCCTCACTTCAGCATGCTGCATCTTCTTTTGCTTCATCTGTCTGTGTCCACGTGTTTCAGCTACGTGTGTTGTAGATCCACCTGATACAGTGGAACTGTTTTGTCTAGGCACTTGCCGTCTTGCTGTGCACGAGTACTGCTATCTAGTTCATGCCTGTGGAAGCGAAGTTTAAAACATCAATGTAACGTTGTCATAATGCATAGAAATTGTATGCTGCACAATTTGTCAGGTTTTACTGGAAATGGAAACAGCTTTACTTTCAAAAAAAACCACCACACAGTTACAAGAAGGCAGTGTAATTTCTTTTTGTCTGGAGTTTGTCACTGTGACGTATTAGCCAGTCCGTAAGCAATGAGAGATCTCATGGTATGCTGACAAGTCCGTACGGATGATCCAGCTTTGTCAATAGAGAAATTGAAGTGTAGAGTTCACATGGCTTTGGGCCACTCATTTATAATGGACAACAAAATATATGTCTATATACAATCTATTCAGAGTGGAGATGAACATGTCAGCTCCTACGTGGTGATTGTCCCCTCTGTAATCTATAAATAGGTTCCAGGCAGCTTGGCCATTTGAGATGCGCTGTTTTGCGGGTAAAAAGATGTATGTGAACAGTTAGAGTGGAATGTGTTGTAGACAATGTGCTGTAAATTCACACCTGAGTTTAACTTACAGCAATTTATGTGGCTGTATTCTGTGAGTAGGCTCTTGAATGAATAGTTTCTGCAAGTTTAGAAGACAGGAGTGAGGTATGTGCAGCCCTGGGCACAAAACCCTGAATGCTAAGGCTGCTTTGTTTAAAGTAAGAAATATAGCTTCAAAATTATAAATTAAATAACATCTGTTATGTTCTATGTGGCTTTTGCTTGCTTTGCCTTTTTTTTTTTTTCATATAGACTCTTGGAATTGACATAGTTGTGAGAGCAGTGCTTCTGTTCACAGCACAGCAGAGAGGTTGCTGTGCTTGGTGATTCAGCAATGAACAGTTGAGGCTTTTGGCATCTGGGAAGTAAGAGAAGACAGTCTGGGGCTGGGGAGCGAGCGCATTAAGGGGATTAGCTGTCAAAACGATCAGAAATGAAATGAAGAACTTTGACATTTAACGCTACAGGCACTAATTCCTGTATGCCAAAGTAGTTTGCAGTATGTAATTTCGGGGGGTTTGTTTTGTTTTGTTTTTTTTTCCCCTTGGGAAGTTGAAGGGCATGTGAATATATAAATGTTCTTTCTGAAAGTAGGAAGAACTAGATCTGTCACAGATTAGGACAAGGAATTTCTGTGTCTTTGCACTGTCATCACTGGACTATCTGTATTGTACTTTACCCTTTTGTACCAGACCTCAGTAACATAGAAATCCCAAGGGACTGAGTTCTTCTGCTTTTTATTTTTAAAATTTATTGTGCTACTTATGTTTAAGAATAATAGGTCTGTAACCTGAACTGATAAATGACCATACAATGCAAGTGTCATGGCTTCTATGCACATTGTTTAACTTATCTTTAATGAAAATGGTTAACTACTTATGACAGATACTAAGTTGTAGCGAGTGTATTTCATGTGTGTTTGAGGTTTTTCAACATAGTCGGGTGCATTGGTAACTACGGGTTGTGTAGGTAACCTGTTATTTAGACAACTTGCCACTCTTCCACGGGGAAAAAGTAAAATAGACACATTCTCACACACAAACAATGTGTTTACTTGCATGTGTATGTCTCCGCATACGTGCGTACAGACGTGTGTGCAGATACTCTGCTTGATAACCTAAAAGCTTATCCTTGAAATCCTGGAACTGGTAAAACCCTCCTTCATGCAGCAGTGTCTAATTATTTGGGGATAACACAGTGATGTTAAGCTGGTTTTAGATCTCGTCAAGGGCTGAGTCTTGTATTAATTTTTCATTGGAGACGTTTTGGGTCGTTCTTATCAAGTGACTACTTCAGATCTTACCTGTTATTTTAATGTTCTACAAGTGTGTCTCGTATTTTTATTTGGGTTACTACTTATGGCTTCTCCCCCGCATACACTCATGACCAAACGTAAACACAGCTACAGAGACTGGTTAAGTAATAGAATTTGCAGGGATATGTGGGCTTTTCAAAGCCTGATCTTCTCAATTTTGTTAGTAATTCTAAAAACTCACGATAAAATATAGTACCGAATGTCCAGTCCCATTATTAATATCCCTAGTAGTCACACTGCATGGCTGAGCTGGGGGAAATAATCAGAATAAAATACTTCAGTATCTCCACAGTGTTTAAAATTGCTTCCAGCTATAAAATGTGAGCACGATTTTTTGTTGGATTTTAGCATAAAAGGCAATTATACTGCACGCTGAACTGAGTTGGTAGTTTCATACACAGGTAAAAGACTTGGGTGTTTTTTTTTGAAAACTGCCCTTTATTGTTAGGCTTGATGTTATCTGGTGATTGCAATCAGTGATTCAATTTAAGTGCATGGTGGCCTTCACCCAAGTGGAATTTGAAGCTGCGGCACCCCTTGCATGAGCTCACCCAGCCTAACGCTGTCTGCAGCTCTGCCGTTGGTCAGGCTCTTTACCTCGTGCTGAGAGGGTCAGTAAAGCTGTCATATGCTCTGCTCAACATGGTTATGTTGCTCAGTGTAAAATGAAGCAAACACATAATTACTGCATGATTCCTAATCCCTAAATGACGTTAATTCTTGAAATTTGTTACTCATTCTATCGATATGGCACCAGAAAAAATTCACACATTTTCTTCCCGCTTTCAGTTTTTGGATTCTGCAAAACAGGGCCGTTGCTGTACGCACCCACCCCTGCGACCGTGCGTTTCAGCTGGCGTGTTTTTGCACATACTGCTGGGCTTGGCTATGGCAGTGCACGAGGACCTCGGAGTAAACGCCTGTTGCACCAGCACGGCAATGGAATATATTGTCAGAGTCCTCAGCTGGGTTGGTGAGGACAGGCTGTCAATGTGTGGGTGGTAAGAAATAGCCTGAGTTAAGTGTCACTTTCTTTCTTCTGCAGGTATTCAAACCATTGACTCTACCCAGGCGTTGTTCCTGCCGATCGGAGCGTCTGTGTCTCTCCTAGTTATGTTCTTCTTCTTTGATTCAGTTCAAGTTGTCTTTACAATATGCACAGCAGGTGACTAAGTTTTCTTCTCTTTATAAGAATCGGAATAGAACAGAAAGCATGGATGTAATTAGATATTGTTGATAGGAATTATAATACATGTTGTAGTATGTTTAAAAAAACCCAACTCATCAGGTTTCACAGTTGTATTTTCATGTCTTTGTAGCTATTAATAAAGTGACAAGTATTATTTGAGAAATATTTTCCACTTAGAGATTTCCTAAACCTACTTGTTTATAAAGCAGTGCTCAGAACTGTACATGGTATTTCATCATTCAGGTACTTTGCAGGATCATAGCATAACTCTGGAGATCCTATCCAGAGACTTCTTTTCCTAGTTTAATTTTGTTTTTTGCTTTTATGCAGTTTTCCTTTGTTTCAGGAGTACTTCTGGTCTCACTAGCATTTTGAGTATTACTCTTTTGCACTGCTTGAATTTGGAACAGAAATGAAACTGTTGTCCACACATCAATTGCAAGTCCTCTGATCCTGTTTATTATTGTTTATATTTTGTCATTTAAGTAAATACCAGGGCTTTGATTTTTGGAAAACTTTGGCCTTTTGATCTTTTTGTAGTTCTTTGAGACCAGCTGCTGTTCAGGGTAGTAAGATTCTTCCTACTGCTCCAACTATGCAGCAGCTTTTAAAAATTGTTCTCCTCAGTCCACATACTGAGTCTGTGAAGATTATTAAACCCCTAAATACCTCTCATCCTCTCCTGCTTCATGTGTATTTAAGGCAGGCTTTTTCCTTCGCGATCTAAGTCCTGAGCTGTGCATCCTCTCCAGCTCTTAAACAGAGCTGATGTTGATGGGTGAAATCTAAATCTCTGTTCTTGACCTGAGTCTTGAGATTCCTACCTCAAATTCTGGAGGCACAGTCCTGTAGAGGTCTGTTCAGTACTGCTTTTATAACTTTGATCTATAACTTTCCTATTAAAAATAAATTATTACTTCAGATAAATTCTACTATATGCTAGGTACTAGGGCAATATATGTACACACATAAATGTAAGGTATTATAAGAGAAGATTTATGACAAAAGACAACTTTTAATTTGTCAAGCTTATTGGTCTATTTATTTCCAGAATGACCTTGACATTTATAACTTCATTTGTAACATTTGTGGTGTGTAATTAGCTGATATTGTTGGGTCAGTTGGGGCTTGTTGCAGGTTTAGAGGATCGGGTCTGTTTGGATCAGTGCCCTTGGGTATCTTTATTCTTGAACCTGTTTTTATGATACTTTTGTGCTTTCCCTTGCTCTTGCATCAGAGGATGTCACTAAGCACAGGGGACTGTGGCCCTAGAAGCTCTACAGTGCAAAGCTTTGTTAGAGGCCGTGCAGCAGGATGCGGGCCCTGCCAGCCTTGGGAACTGTGAGACTTGGTCCCTCTGTCCCCTGAAGCGCAAGCAGTGCTATTTTACATCCTCTTTTTGTAGATTTTTAGAGGCTGATGTGGGAGGACTTGTAAATTATAGCCGATGTCTGGTTTCTTAAACCCCTTTTAAATCTTCCTTGCACCAAGGTTTGCCTTTCAGGGAAGAGTCAGGAGCAAGGGTAGGTACGGCACACAGCCCAGGGCCAGGACCAGCCGCTAAGCAGAGGGCAGAGCTGCAGAGCTGGCATGTTGCCTGCAGACAGGAGTTAAGCCGATTGAATAATAGGAATTGAGACTAGAGGGAAGATAAAACTTATGACTGGAAGCCTGGATAGTCAAGAAGGAGCTTGAGAGTGGGTACTCATGGGCACTGGGCATTGGTGTGATGGCATCTGAATTCTCATACGCTCTGAATGGGCCCAGCTCTGCGGTGGCAGCGGTTGGGGACACCAGGACAGGAGGCACAGGGTTCCCTGCTGAGAGCTGGAGGGGAGGACGGGGAAGGAGAGGTTCGAAGGGCAAAGAGGGGCGGTCTGGGGTGAGGAAGGGTCAGTCCCGCTGTGGTGAAAAGGGAGCAGGGCAGGCAGGCAGCGAGGCGTGCAGGACTTGGGGCAACTGGGGCACGGGTTTTGCTGCGTAGTGGTCTTTGCCAAGCACCTCCGAAAAGATT